GGGGGGGGGGGGGGGGGGGGGGGGTGCAAGGGAAGAAGGAAGATTGAAGTATATCCTAAATTACGGTGAATCATTAAATTCGTAAGAAGAGTTGCCTTAAATAACTAAGACTCGTAAATCGTGGTTCGCGGACGAGAAATAATATTCTACTTGGAAAAAGTAGGATTCGCGTGGCCAATATTATGGGGATCTCCGTGTATAAATGCATTAGTCGTCGTGAAGAATAATCCTTATCTAAACGAAACGTTAACGTTCTCATTCCGTCTTCACATTCCTGGAGAAGAAGCGTAACTAGTAAGATTATATACGTGGATGTGTGCGTGTCGTAGCGTTTCAAAAATGACTAAATTCGGTTGACTCTTTCTTTTTTTCCAAAAGATCCAAGCAACTTGAAAATCTCTTGGATGCTCTTGCAATTAAATTTATCTGGTCAGTCGTCATACGGTCAGTCTGCGCGCGTGAAACAGGCAGTCAAGCGCGATCTTGTAAAGTAACAAAGAATCAGGCAAATTGGAAGTAGGAAAAAGTGACGAGTGAAGGACGAATCCAAGAACAAAGAGAGCAAAGAGAAAGAAGAGGAAAGGAAAATTAAATAGCGCGAGCGTTAAACGTATGAAAATGATTATGAATGGTCGGGAGAGAATGCGTGTGAGAAAGAGAGAGACAGAGAGAGAGAGAGAGAGAGAGTGAGAGAGAGTGATGAGTGGTCGCTGCACGATTTGCGACCCATTGTTATAAAATTATTAATGAAAAAAAAACCATTGAAAGCTTTAACTTTGAATAAACTTAACTTTAAACGGTATAAAGTAATGTAACAAATACGATGATCATGGAAAATAAATAATAAAATGTTGTGTGACTTGGGGGGCCGAAAATCTGTCGTTGGAAAATTTGATTTACTCTCTCACTTTTTTTTGTCGGGCTGATATGACACGTGTCTTTTTCTTCGTTCTCACTCGTTTCTTGCATTAATCTTTCATTGGCTACAATTCACAAGGAGCAAGGGGCAACTTTGCACTTTTTCTTTTCTCCTAAGAAATGACAAATTCGTCTCTTCTAATGGAAGATGAGATTCTCTTTGGTCTCTGTCCCGAGCGACTGCGAACACCTAATTAAAATTTCGGATGGAACATCTGAATATTAGACTTTTTTCAAATTTTCCCGCGGCGTCCATTCGGGTCTCACGTTATTGTAAACTTATTGTATATTACTTACAACATGAACATTAAAGAAAATCACAGACATCATTTGTTTTCTTCGTGAAAAATATTGTATCTTCGTATCTACGTAGCGCCGGAGAGAAAGAATGAGAAAGATTTCGAGAGACAAAGTAATGTTGACTGATTCCTCTGATTCAATATTTCAATACGGTCTTCTTATGTCTTGACCGATCCAGTCAAAATGCGGCCACGTCGTCGCGAAATGCCCAGGCGAATTCTTTCCTCCGCCAGCGAGAATATCAGCGCGACGTCTCTGACAGTTAGGATGCATCGCGCAGACAGTTATTTATCAGTTTATCAGTTTATCAGTTTATCAGCTAAGAGAACTATTCGAGCCTCGCGAGTAATCATAATTATCGGATGCCACGAATACTGTCGTTGCATAGATATGCATATTTACCTTCAAAAATTAATAAACCGAACGAAGCTGGTCGAATAAAGGGACAAAGATCAATAATGTTATCACTGATAAATAAGGTTGGACCTTCGTATTTTATCGAGTAAACGGAGAGATTTGATTTTCGAGAAAGAAAGTGGGAGCGTGAATGAATGAGGAATATGTCCAGCTAGTTAAATGTATAAGTGAGTGTGTATCGTCGCTTAGAAATGCTCAGTCGTCTTACTCGTCAGGTTTCGAATCCACAAGGAGATATCAATTTTATTTTATTTTTTTTTTTTTTTTAAGGAAAAACAATAAATAATTTATGAAAATATTGAGGAATGTCATTCACCACAGCACGGCCATCTTTGAACTTCACACTCATATCAACGTTTACTAATTTTGACGAAAAACCCAAAATTGTGCATCCCGTACATCTGTTGCCTGTCATCCTCAAAAAATTCAGTACAGACAAGAAGAGTTGCAGAATATTTTTTTCATCGTCGTCATCGTTGCCACTAACGAGAACTATTATTTTCTTTACTTGCTTTCATTTTCTTTCTTTTGATAAGGTGAGACGTCACCGACACTGCTGGTTCCATTGCATTTCCTGTGAATATATTTTCAGGACGGTTTCCACCGAGACTTTCAGAATTATCAGCAGGCAGGCTGAAGAAAGCTCAAGAGAGAAAATATCACGAAACGGAATTGTAGAGATTATTTTGCAGGTAATACGAAGTCGCCTAGGTTATATCGTCTGATGTTATTTGTGTATCTTGATACTATGTATTTGTGATGAATTTTTGTGTTACAGGAAAAATGAACTACCGAGGAATGAAAAGGGAAAGTGGATCCTGTCAAAAGTACTTCTTCGTACTCCTGGGGATATGTTATTAGTTCTATTATAGACATTGGGTTATTGTAGTTTTTTTTTTTTTTTTAGTAATACAATAAACGTCAGTTGAGCGGAAAAGAATCAAGAGTACGCACGACATATAATTAGCTATTTTATAATGAATTTCTTGGATTTATCTTGAATTCTTTAAGTTGCAGCAGACATTTACGATCCTCCTTCGATAAGCGCGCGTTAATGAAATGATCGATGCACTACAATGGTTTCTAACTTTATGTCGAATGGAAATGGAATGCAGCGCCGACTGTCAGTGCAATTGGGAATTTCTCTTGGCAGAGCGTGACGTCTCGCTGCCATTCTTTCCTGTCAAGAGTCGCCATGTTTCCTAAATACTGGTAAGGTCACATTTTCACCTAAAATAATTGGCCAACTATTTTGCATCTCTAATAAATTATGTTATTCTCCACCCTCGATATAGGACCTGTGTTGTCATCGTGTTAACTCTTGCCGGAAATGCAGTGACGGATCTTCAAAATCCAGTGGGACTTGAACTGTCGGCTGGCAGGGTGCGAATTATGAACAGAAGATGCAAAGGCATGGGAAACCACAAGGTCAAGTTTTTCACTCGATCAAAAATTTTGTCCACGCGGAATAAACCGACTTTCGCAACGACAGAAAGAAGCAAAGTAACTGCTCGGGTCGAGAACCGAATGCCACTACTCCAGGGTAAAACAATACTACCTGTTACTCCAGGATTTCTTGTGCCCTTCGTAACGAGCATCCATGATCTCCCCGAGGAACCGCAAGCCTCGCGGGATCTGCAACGCGCGCCGCAAAATAAAATTCCGACTTGGAGCGGACGCATCGGTCTAGCGCGGATTGCGTTTCCCGGAAGAAGTCCACCAATGATGCCGTTTCCGGATCAAAATGACATTCTTCTTCTCAAGTCTACAATTTAACACACCGCAATAGACATAGTGATGCATTGTCATAATAAAAGGAACGGCTGGAAAATAATACATCCAGATAGGAGACAAACTCTTACATGCAGAGACTTCCGAATAGGCTACATAGAATATCGCCGATTATTGAGACACTAAATATAACTTTATATCTGTTTTGCAGAGCGAACGCTCTTAAAATGTTATTACAAAAAATTACTCGCTATGCGTTTATATTACTCGTGCCACACGTATCCTGCATAATTTATTTCACAGTGATCTAGCTAATCTGGTGGACTGCAATCGCCACTATTATTGTATGATTCTCTTATAAGTGTAAATTCTGTTTGTATTCTATAACTCAAATTGGTGTTAATCTTAAATATAATATGTTTCTTGATGTTATTTTTCCTTTAAAATATTTTTGTGACAACAATCACTGAAGGATCCGTTCGAATAAAATAATTTAAATCACTCCAACTACTATTCTTCCTGAAAATTGAAAGTTTAAAGATTTCGAAGAGAAAGCTGCTTGTTCAAAATATCCTATTTGTGAGTAGGGGCAGGCGGATGGTGGGGGAAGCGCTCGAGACAGCGCCCGGACTCGGAGCGCTCATTCTTCCTCGAGCCGGTCTCCTATACTGGTCTCTTGGAATCATTTCGAACCTTCTTCCATTTTTATATTTATTTCCTCTTTACTTCCTTATTTCTTTATCCTTCATTCTTCACTTTCTTATTTATCTCTTTCCTCATTTCTTCTCCACTTTTATAACTTTATTCCTTTTTTTTCTACTTCTTCACTACTTCATCACTACTTCATTTCTATATTCATTTCATTCTTATTATCTTATTCTAACTTCTTTATTTCTATATCCATTTACAACCTTCTTCTTCTTCTATATTAATTTCTTCTTCAATTCCTTATTTCTTTATCTTTCATTTTTTACT